GATGGATGATGTTCTTGCCAGGACTACACAGGAACTGAGGACAAAAGATAAAATGAGAAGTATTGCAGCTTTATTACAACTGATGATTCTCTGGAAATGGGCTTTCATATCTGAAATCAAATATAATTAGAAGCTTTCATCTCTTGCAGAAAATCCACACTGATTTTCATCTTTCTCTCTTGAACAAAAGCTATATGCAATTTTCTTCTAAAATAAGCTTTAATGTTCAACTTTGGAAAAATTACAGTTCAAATGTCTTTAGCTAATTTAAAACCTAGCTTCTTCCTATTGATAACTACTGTGTGTTTAAGGAAACTAAACCTGTAACAGAGAAAAGTGATTTATCTAAAAGCTGGATATCAACTGGGGAAAAACACTGAGTTTGGCAATTTCTTTGTTTTACATTTGGTAACTGAAAACAGAAGCTATACAGAGCAGGCGTGCACATACACCTGTTTATTTCTTGCATTTGACCTTCCTTTCATACTTCTCTTTGCAATCTTCACTGTACACTCTATTAAGCCACAGTTCTGCAAACACAGAAGTGAATCCACAGCCACATCTGCAGATTGGCTTTCAGCTTAACATTCTCTTTTCAGAGAGGGTAATGGAGCTGACACTGGGGGCAGGCACTGTGCATACTTGTGTTTTTATATGGTACTCAGCTTAATGAGGTTCTAATCCTGATGAACCATCTGGATGCAGTTAAAGTATGAAATAATTAATAATGGAATTCCATTAAACTGCTTCCCTGTTCTCCTTAAATGACTTCTGAGAAGACTGTCCAGTTAGAGAAATCAAAGTCCTAAGAATCTTTTTGCATTACATGCAACAAAAGTCCTTTCTCTATTGCACAGTAAAGTATGAATACATACTTTTCTGTGCAATACTTCATACGCATACTTCAATAACTCAAACTTCAATATCTGGAGAGGCTGACTGTAACTAAGTAACTAGATCCATTTAACAAGGACACTGATGCTCAAAATAGGGTTTGTATACTTAAAGATGATGACTGTTAACTGGACTAGAGTGTGTATTCTGGTGAACCTGAACAGAGGTCCACATGCACAAATTTGGGATTCAGCCCAATTAGCCAGGTAGTCCATCATACTTTGTATTTATGCACTCGAGTGACAGTGACTACTCTTTCTCAGCTCCTGTTGGACTTAGTGTGAGTGCTATCAGATGCACATTTATAAAGACCACTTTATTTAAGTGTCTGGACAGAAAGACTAGTTACTGGAGTAAAAATTTTGGCTCATGTACCTTAAATGTATAAAACGCTTTTGAGACTGATCTCACCAACTTACTTTAATCTACAGTATCCTCACCTATGCAATCCTTATGTCAGAATTTTTTCAGTTTTCTTAGTTGTGCTTAATAATTTTCGTTCTTCACTTATTTTTTTAATAACTCTCTTTCAAGTGTGGCATGACATCCTGCCAGTAAAGTTGGATCAGTGTGCTTAAGATCAATAGATAGGACAATCCCTGTGTACATACCAGATCCAGTAAGAACTTTTTGTGACTTTCACACAATGAGGTAATATCCACAAATAAAAGACCCACTTCTAAGTCAAACTTCCTGCCTGTAACAAAATCTCCTCCTGTATCTGTAGAGGAAATAAAAACCTTCAATCTCTATTTTCTGGATTATGTTCTAGTAACCAAGATTAATCCAATATATGTATAATGGGATGCATATGAAGGAAAGTTTGAGTCACTAACTGTAGTCCATGGCTTTATGGTCCTAGAATATTTTGATCACTCAGTCCTCTGGAGAGGAGGGAAGGGTGTTAAGCTCTCCAACTGAATGCTTGCATGTTTCCCACCTGCTTGCTTTCCAGACTTAGATAACGAGCTGGGGCCTAAGTAATCCTACTTTGAAATGATTTCTTGTCAACATGGTGTTCTGTTTCCAGAATATCTGTATGGTTGCATAGTCCCACAACCTTTCTTCCCCATACTACATACTGAAGGTTCTTAGTTGATTTCTGTATGACAGAAAATAATAAATCCTATGTGTGAGTTAAATGCTGAGTCACTGTACTTCATTCAACTTGTGGGCTGTTGACATCAATTTTTATTTGTGCTCTTTAAATGGCAAAAGAAAAAAAAAGTTATTTTCCATCTGTTTAGTGAACTTTCAGTCCTTTTTCTCCTTTAAAGGAAAATACTGAATTTTTTTTTATTTTTTTTTAATTGTGTCATCAGAGAACAGGACAGGTGATATGTGTGTGAAGACTGACAATCAGTTTTCATATAAAAATACATAGAGGGGAAGATACCTATGTAACAGTCCCACAAAATCAAACAATGGTGCTGATGTAATTTGATGATAGATTTTTCCTTGTCATAAATTAGTTATTCATTCAAATGCTTATGCCATTATCTTCATCATAGGGGAGTTCTAGTCACAAAATCTTTCTGTTCTTGCCTAAGTGGGGTTCTGTACTCTGCTTCCAGGAAATATTTGATATGCTACCAGACTCAGCCCTGTTCTTTCTCTCTCCTGCATCTTCACCTGTATGTGAAATGCACCATGTATGTATGTGGGAGAGAAATGCTTCTGAGATTTAAAGCTAAGACTAGCCAAATGTCAGAAACTGTTACAGCAGAGATAACAGTAAGTAGGAAAATAACTTGAACTCATCAGATAGTACAGGATCCCTCAAAAGTCCCTTTTGGGAAAGGAAACTACTGTTTCCTACTGGAAACTACTGGAGAAGAATGCTCTGAATGCTCTTTCCATTGAGAAAAATGTATTTTCTTTGAGCCCAAGCTCTATTTAATTAGTGTTCTGACATCCAGGCTCAAAAAAAGAGAAAGTCAAGTCATGAAATACTCAAATGGTATTGCAGAACAAATTTCTACCAGAATTGTCACTTGGGCAGAGTCCCAGGGGCTCAGCATGTCCCATTGCATCAGACTTGTACCAGACAAGCATTAGGCCAGGGCAGCTCTCACACAAGAGACAGTGCAGAGTCCTGCACTCAGAACCTTCTGTCTCAGAAAAAGTCCTACTTTTATTTCAAATACCAGCTGTTGTCAAATGTAAGTGATAAGCAGAAATATATTAAGTTTCTGGTATAAGTATTTGAACTGTAATTAAGACACATAATTTACACAAGTAAATGTATAACAACAACAAAGAAGATATTATATTTATATCAAAATACCGAAAAGAAGCATTTTCTGTTAAGATTTGGGTTTTTCTCATTGTCCCACACTTATCCACCACTGTACTTTGATGCTTCTCAAGTGATATTCAGAGTTTGGGGGTGTCCAGATTCATGCACAGTGAGTGGCTATCAGGGAAAAAAGGTACCTGCTGGTATCCCAGGAGCCTAAATCCCATATTTATATTTCTTTGTAATTACAATTTTTTTAATGTAATAATTTACCCTTTCTTTTATGTACTGCCCATCTCTAACAGTATTACACCTAAAGAAACTGAACTCTAGTCACCTGTTAAATACATTTACTCTAGGAATTATTCTTTATTCCATTATATTCCCTACTATTATTTTTTCACTGAATAGCAGTAATTCAATTAATTCATGTACATATTAAACATAATCCAAGATATGAATTCAGATACACTGTAGTGTTATAGATCAAGTATAACCCTTAAAAACAAAGCAGCTCCTACTCTTTAACCCTTTCCAGTACTGAAACAAATTCATTCACAATGTGCATAAATTCAAAATTCATATTGACAAATGTCAGCAGGATCACCAATCCTCATCATAAAACTTCTCTATTATTTTATAATTGTACTTTAAAATTATTCCTGATGTTCTTAAGTCCCTGATTTTTGTATTCAGTCAGAGCATATGGTTCCAGTGTTTTACAGAACACGGTTTCAGTTTGTGGGTCCTGTCACTGCTCTCTGGAACACTGTAGATAGGATACCAAATACATCTGTTATTTTTCTTTAATTTGCTGACTTTCACATTTATGCTGCACAAATACTCAAAAGTACATTATTAGAAATATTTTATTTACTATGTAATGTACCATGACATTTCCATACCCTTTGCAGAGCAGGGTTACTCTAATTTGGGTGTGTTAGACCAACAGGAGAGAGAAATCAGATGTGAATTCATGTCTTGTCTGGAAGAAAAAGGAGAAGAGTAATTTTTAAATTTTTAAAATGTCTAATTATTTCTATGCAAACCAAACAATATGCTATATAAATGTACAGATTTTTTAAAAAATATATAAATTTGGTTAGTTTTTTCTATTTTAAAAAGCCCTAAAAAGTGATTAAAAAACAAAAAGCTTTTACTAAAATATCTGATTTTTGGTAAAAATACCAGTTTTAGAAGATAGTATGAGAAGCTAAACTCTTGCCTGGGTAAAGAGCAGAGCTGGATACCAGTGCTTTTAATGGTTCAACATCCCAGCTCTTCTTCACGTTGAAGTATTATTTCCTCTTACTTGATTAAAAAAGAAGCTTCAGCACACTCAGCATTTCTTTTTCACTGAAAGCGGTGCTGTCTCTTGCTTTCACATTTTTGTCCTCTGAAACTCGTGTGTTTATGTAACTTCTACAGAAAATAACTCGGCCTGCTCGTGCCCAGGAGCAGCCGCAGGACTCGCCGTCCATTCCCTCGAGCCTCGGGCTCCTCCTGAGGGCTGAGGGTGAGCGCGGGCCCCGCTCCCTTCCCGCCGCCCGGCTCCCTCCTTCCCGGCCTCCCGGCGGCGCCGCGGCTTTCCAGCCTGCTCCAGGACAGGTTTCGGCTCGGGGAAGGGACCTGGTGAGGCTGGCACTGGGAACAGCTGCCACAAAGGCGAGCGGGAGCCTCCAGGCCCAGGCTGCGGGCTGCCTCTCGCTCCTGCCTTCGCTCCCGTGGTTTTTAACCAGTTCTTTAACGTTTCCGTGTGCTCCAAACGTCTCGCCTAGTTAACTGGCAGGAAATAGTTGTCGTCTCTCTTTTCCCAAACTTTTCAGAAGTGGCACCTCACTGCAGAGCTATTAAGCCGCTGGAAGAAATGTCAGAAAGGTGCGGGCAGGAGCCAACGAGGTGGATAACGACGGTCATTATGAGCACAGCTCTGCAGGTAGGACACCGCTTGTGAAGACCAGCATCTGACTCACTAGGGAAGGCTGAAAGAAGAAATTACTATATTCTGTATATGGAAATATTTTATCCAATGTCAGTGAATACAGTTTTTTTCAGGATAAAACGGATATTAGTCTGAAGCTCTTTCTATTAGAATACTGGTTCTTTTTTTTGTGCAACTGTATTTTCTCGTAGCTACTTCCATATCTAGTTAGTATTCTTGCCACCTGCTATTCTGAGTTACACTGCTTAAGGATATTCTCCTGACTCATCGTTTTTGCACTGCACTGATGCCTCTTTCGGTTTGCTCTATAAATAATTCCATCAGAAATCTTCCTGAATTTTCTGAATTTCTCCCTAAATACTTCATTTTTTCCTATACAGTATCAACATGGGGGTAGACTATTACTCTGTAAGTACATAATTCAGTTTAAAATACTGAGGCTTATAGATATTAATACATGTTTTTATCTGTTAACATCAGGAGCCTTGACTCCGTTCCCAAGTAAAGTGAAAGGGTATGTCAAGGAGCTGGTAATTAGCTTCTGCAGCTGAGGCCAATTTCATGCCAGCTGGCGAGAATGTAGAGCTTTGAGAGCTTTGATTCACAAGCAAGGATGTCTTATGCTAGATGGCTGACAAGGTTATCACCTCATCTCCGCTGTGTAAATGGGTGAACCATGTTGAAGTAATTCCTAAATTGCTTCATTTTAAAGCCTGTACTTACTTGCCTGCTCATTTTGGAGTTTACAGCCTGTAAACTGTGCATCTTTGTGCCATAATATGGTGAGAGGTAATGGATGGCAGTGATTTCATCAGCTGTACCGGCATAACTCGCTCCTACCCCCAGCTCTACTCAAAACTACTCTCTTCATAAGGGCTCCCCATAAGCAAAGTGATGGAGGTAACTGAATACAAATCCAAGCTGGCTTTTCTGTATCAGTCTTGGTTATGAGCTGTCATTTTCATATAGCTGTTACTTCTATTTGTACATTAAATAATTCAGCAGTGGCTTTGAAGCTGAGATTTTTTCCAAAATGTAGCTAAACCTTAGAAGCAGTTGCCACTGAGTGTTCGGTTTCCAGACCACCAACTGAAAGCGTGACATTTCTGGCTAATGCCTCCTTCAAGGTTCACTTGCAATCCAGATTTTCTGTTGTACTCTTCCACTAAATCGTGGCACTTCCCTATATAAGCAGGCTGGCTGTGTTTTGAATGGGTAGGTTAAAGAACATATTATTAGCTAAAAAGGTTCAGTGATTTAACCTTTAACATATGCATGTGTGCAGCTTCTGTGGAACATACTGCAGAAATGCTTTTTGCAGGCTGAAAAATACATCCAAACGCAGTCTATTCTGTAGATGATTATACTGCATAGTGCAGCGTTCTAGTTTTCCTGTGGGGATTGCATTCTGTCAAAAAGCTTTAAAGAAAATCAAGTCCTATACAGAATATCTGAACAATTTTCCAGCTGAGATGCTGACATCTGTGAAAATAATGCAGCCTAATTAACTAGTCATAGAAACACACTACTGTATGATCCTCACTTCTGCAAATCCTCCTTTAGCATATCTTACCAAAACAGAGTTTTTAAAATGTTTGAGCTTTATGCATTATGCAAGAGTTTCCTGAGACAAACTGAACATACACATACAGAACTATTATTCAAGTGTTTGTAACTTCCAGTCAAATACTTCAAAATTTCCTTAATTGATCATGTTTAAAATTTCAGTACTTTTTAAATTTTAAGTGGAATAAAAAATACTTTTTGAACAACAGTGCCAAAGGTCTATCTATAGTGGTTCAGCTCATGCTTTAAGACTATTTCTAACTTGCTGGCTGAACTTTCAAAATAACCTTTTAAAATTTTAGGATCATGAAATTTCTACAGTTCTGCAGAGGCAACAACACCGAGTTCGATATTCAGAATCAGTGGAAACTGGATCTGTGATTTTTCCTCTTTCTGGTACAGTAGTTTAAAGTTTATACTTTTAAATCATAAAATCGAAAGAAGTACAAAGGCCAGTCAGCTTGGTTGTGGGCTACTCTAAAATGAATAAAACCTGCCTTGTTGTGCAGTAGTGGAAGGAGCTGTGCTATCGTTGTATGTAAATCAGAGGATGAAACAGGTAAGATAATGTTGGGGACACTTTCACTGTATTTTAGTTTTTTGGACACATTATAGAACAGCTACATGAGATTTGGTGATCATCAGCTCAACTGTTCAGTAAATTCATGTTATAACTGAGCAAACATGCTTAATGCCGCTAACATGTAAGTTGCCATCAAGATCTTTAGTATACATGGCTGTAAATGTAAGAGTGAACCAGCACCTTTGGCTTTCAACTTCCAAGTTGAATTTGCACAGCTGGTGGTAGCAGAGGAGGTGAGGAAAGGATTATTTGAGTGGATTTGATTAGGAAATCACTGAAACTGTAAACATGAAATAGCTGGTTTTCCTTTTTACAACAGAAGATGTTCTAGACACATAGATGAGATACTTCACTTTTCCTGAACTTTGACTAGCACATTTAGATATTTTTGTATGCTCAGTTGTTAACCCTCCTGAACTTCAGCTTTAACTTTCCCTTTCAGAACAACTTGACAGAGCTATAAGTTCATTTTTCATGGTAGACAGTTCAGCTAACTTATAAGATTTTACAACTGTTTGTTTCATTTAGAAACAGGACTCCCAGAGAGCTTTTCAGTCAGCCTTTGCATTTGCCCCAAATTCATTCCATTATAACAGTTGCTTGTTCCTGAAGCATGTGCTCTCAGAGGCATTCAGATCTATCTAATTTGAGTGGATTGAAGAGTTGATGGGTTTTTGATGTTATGGTAGAAAAATAACCTGAGATAGTTGTAGTTTTATCTTAAAACTGCTAGTCATCACTGGTCAAATCTTTCTATCAGTGATGTGGAAATTCATTCATGTTCTGTTCCATTGCATTTTAAACTAATGGTTGCTTTAAGAATTGTGCTTCCCAGTTTGTGGTGAGAACTTAATCCCATTACTGCCATGACCTGTACACTTACAGGAGTCTCCTCAATAGGCATTGCATTTATACTGTCAGACACTCAAGACTTGCTTAGGACAGGGGAAGAAGAGTTTTCCAAAAGAATTCAGAAGTTCATAAACATTCATCGGAACAGCTTTTTGGTTTTGTCAGCTGCTCTTCATGGACCAGAAGAATGGAGTGTCATGTTCAGGATTCAGAGAAGGTACGATTTCAACATCAAACTGAACTTTATATTGCTAAGAAATGAAATAGCAGTCTTGGATTTGGAAATACTATTTTAGGAATAAATAGGACAAGAGGCAATGGACAGAAACTGATGCACAGGAAATTTCACCTGAATATGAGGAAGAACTTCTTCACTATGTGGGTGACTGTGCACTGGAACAGATTGCCCAAAGGGTGTGGAGGCTCCCTCACTGGAGAAATTCCAGAACAATCTGGATGTAATCCTCTGCAGTGTACTCTAGGATGAACATGCTTGAGGAGGGAGGTTGAAGTTGACACACTGTGGGCAGTTCCAACCTTACCCTTTGTTAATTATTTCAGGAATACACGAATTTTATTTTACTTATGCACCATAAAAAATCATTTAAAGCATTTGTTTATTAAGAGCAAATAAAAAGAATACCAAGTGAACCAATCTGATGCATCACAGGTAACAAAAGAGGATGTTCCTCAAAACATAGCAAATAAGATTCCTTTCAATCATTTTAGGGCTATGTAATATAATTATTTTTAAATTTTTTCTTGCATTGGAAATTCAGAACATTTTCTTAGCTCTGTAGCCATATTTTCATGGTCATCTTCAAAACAGAACAGGCAAGTTTACATCATGAGACAAAGCTTTATTGTAAAGTGCAGATTTTTTACCTTTTAAAATGTTTACTTGGAACAGCATCTATTACACTGTGCTAGAACAATTAAATAATCAGTGTTATTTTACACCAAAAGTATAAAATATACTAAAACTGGTTTGTTTAAAACTTTTATCTCTGATTTCTAATGAAGTCTGAAAACTTGCATATTTCAGTACATACCTGCTGACAACAGCAATTGGGTTATGCTCCATGCTTGTAGTCAGAACTGTTTTCTTGTAGGTACAGTAGCCCTAACTGCAGTTGATTGTCACTCTTGGCCTCAAAGAAGTGACTATTCTAATGAAGTCTTTGATCTTTACCTCCTTGAGGTAACTAGCACCAGTTTCATTAAATCCTGGGCATACTGCCAAATGCTGATGAATAAAGAATGTATGAGATAAAATGTAAGAAACCTATTACCCGTTTGTGAAAACATTGTAAATTTTCATGAGAGGTTTTAAAAATTCAGCCATTCACATTATCCAGGTGATGGCAATGCTAATTCTCAATCTACTTTGTGGTTATGTACAATGGGTCTTGTGCACATGCTGATCACTAAAATGCAATGTTTTGGAACTGCATTCATTTGGCAAGTCAGTAGTTTTATTATAATAAAAAATGTTTTTTCATTGCAAGCAATATCAAATTGATGTTGACAAGGGACAATTATATAAATAAATATATATATATATTTAAATGCATGTGCTTTTTTAACTACCTGGCAGCTTGGAGTGCTGCTATTGTTTGTAAATCACTGACTGAGCTTCTCCTAGTGGGGTTGAAACTTGTGCCATGTTCTTTGAAATTAAAAGCCACCTGTTGGATTTGTTAAAAAAAACAAAGCCTCTTAGTATCATCAGGTTGTCTTTTATTACTATTTCTTTCTGCTTATCTATGGCTTTGCTGCAGTTGGGGAAGGATTATTTTTTGTTATTATTAACAAGAAAATTATACGATTCTTGTTAACAACACAAACTTTATGCAGAATTGTGTATAGCATGGTGGAAGTGGGAGAAAAGAAGTGTTTATCATAGCAGCTTAAATAAGCTCAGAAATAACCTCAGTACATCTGTATGGTACATTTTAAACACCTTGGAGGAAAGGCTAGCCATGTTCAAATTCCCAGTATTCTGTCCATCAGTCAAATTAATAACACTAAATTTAGACCTGCTATTACTGGAAGCAAAACTATTTATAGAAATAGATTTTCATGGATCTAGGTAAGTACGTGTAATTATTTATTTGTTGCACTTTGCTCATCCATGCTTTGTTTAGCCCATTCCAGTATCTGCAAAATTGCATCAATTTATTTCCCTAATCTCTAAATGTAAATCAAACCCTTGTTCCTACATCACATTTTAGCAAAATTCACCAGGGACCTGAGTGCCTATGCTTAGCGAAGGACAGTTCCTGTAACATTTATTTTTGCTAATTAGGAGCAAGGGCAGACAAGTTCAGATGAGATACCTTACCATCAGGAGGTCTTAATGTGAATGAGTCCAAGTCATCAGACAGATTGCAGGGAAGAACAGGTGGCAGGCACAAGGGGAGGTCACAGGGGACTATGCAACTGAGCAGCTGGGCACTTCATCTGCATTATTTAAATTCATTTTGGTTATTTAAAATTCCTCATTCTTTGTTGTGAAGTCCCTCTCCTGTTTTAGCTCTACAACAGAAAACAGCAAAGGTAACATCATTGTTATAACACACTTAAGGTGTAATTCTGAGGGAGAGGCTCTGTGCTTGCCAAAGCTTTGATGTCTTTCTTCCATAACCATGAATGACAACTCATGTTACTATTTTAAGTCTTAAGATCCTCTTCTCAAGAATGAATGCATATGAATAACACTATTTATAGAAAGAATTCATTTTAGGTTAAAGTATTGAGTGAACCAGTCTTTACATGAAAGTAGTGGAATTATCCTATTATTTTAATTGTGTCTGGAATACAGGTTGTTTTATTTATAGTACACTACAAAGATTTAGTTCAGGTTCTGAAGTATTTTTAGCACAGTGTTGTTAGATACTTTGCTGTGTTCTTTCACAGCCATAAATACAACCCAAATATTTTTTACTGCCACTGAGAAGTCTTTAGCAATATCACAGAAGAGGGTTTAGCTCTCTCTGAATGTACACATGCTTAAGAAGTGCTGATTGGTGGTTGTAGAGACCTAGATAAAGAAATGAGCCCTTCCAAATCCCACCTAAATAAGTCATACAGAAATGGGACAGATGGCTTTACAAACAGCATGAATGCTGCACTTGGCTTTCAAGATAAAAGCACCCTTCTCTGTAAGTAAAACTGCACACTAAAAAGCTGTTTACATCATGTGGGAATGCTGTTTGAGTTTGGTGGCATAACAAATTAAATACATATTCTAAAAGCAACCTTATTTATTTTGATGTGCAGATTCTTGGGCAGCAATTTACGTGTAATACCAGTTCATAATCCTGCTGAAACTGTTAAATTAATGCTAACTATGGCTAAGGTAAGTCCAGTTGCATACACTTAAAAATATTACTGTCTTACTCAGGAAAAGCCAAGAACTATAAAATATTTGGTTTTCCTTAATGGAACCTTTTAGGTTATTCTGACCACAATCCATTAATACACTAAGGTAGGACTGATACTCTGATGCATTAGCTGAGTCTTTACCATTAAAGATAACTTAATAGCTCTTAGTAGCATCTAAGAAAATAAATTAGATAGTTAAGAGCTTTTTTTGCTCTTACTTACCATTGTTAAGTTAGGATATCATCATTTACTGTTAACTCCTGTTCAAATACTATCACCTCTGTGTACAGCATTCCTGAACACCTACTTAAGAACACACAATTCAAATTTCACTGCTGAATAATTTTGCATTTCTACTGTTGGAAAAATAAAATGTTGAATATTCTATTACCTAAAAGTCCCTGTGTTCTACTAATATTATTTTTCTTTTCTCCAAGGTTACTTCCAAACCAGGAGCAGATGATACTCGTTGCAAAATGGAAATGACAAAAGCCCAAATAATAGAAAAAAGTCCAGTTCGGAAGTTGGTTCAGGAGTACCAATTGCACTGTAATTAACTTAATAGTTGGTTTTTTATTCATAAATAGAGTTGCTACATTTTAAACAAAATATAGAATGTTCTTAAAAATATAGTTACATTTCAAAAAACTACATTCAACATATGCATTTGGAATGAAAATTCATATTAAATAGCAATACAGTGAAAAAATAGCATACTCGATACCAAATGTGCTTTCTATGGAGGGAAAAAAACGTCGTTGAGCTGCACTATAGAAAAGTCATCCTTGCTTTTAACTTGGTTCTGACCTTAGAGGCTCATCTGTTTATTAATAATTCCCCTAAATATTTACTGTATCTTAAGGAAAGCTGTATTATTAAAGATAAGGATGATCAAAACAATTCCAAAATACAGGTATCCCTAAAAACAGCAGCTGTATGTATGCAATCTTACACTATTTTTTAAACACAAGTGTTATCAGTTATGTTACTAAGTTCTAACATTTTATTTGGCTCAAAGTTGATCTGTTTCTCTTTAAACCTGGTTTCCTTTGCCTTTCCTTTTGTTTTTACTATTTATAGATTGTATATTCTGTACTGTTATCTATCTATACTTTACAGTCCTGCAAATAGAGAAGCTTGTCTGTCAACATTAAAATGTGCTAATAAAAGTATCTTCTGCTTAATCAGGACTTTTTAACTATTGGTTCTTCTTGATAAAAATTTTTGTAATTCACAACACCAGACAGCAACTATTACCCAACAAATTCTGAAAATTAAAAAAAATAAATGCCTAACCATACCTCCTTGCCACAGAGAAGAGTACACCCCTGCTTTTAGTTTCCAAACATAAGAAAAAGCTCACAATTCTGAAGAGGAGTAAATAGACATTATCTGCAAATCACATGCAACAAGAGAAAAGAAAATAAAAAAGAACAGTAACAAGACTTATGAAGAGCAGCATTTGCAGTTCTTCTGGAGGCCACTCTAAATTGCTCTTCTTTAAAGGGCCGTAGCATCCCTTGCAACTGAAGTCTCATAGTTCAGATGTTCTTTTCAGGAGTATGGTAATTCAAACACTTCACTCCCTTAACTATTTTCATCCATTACAGCTTTTGTTTTCACTTCAATGAGTTCTTCTACTCGAGCTAGAACACTTTCTATTAAATCAAATGTAAAGAGAGCTGAGTGTAAAACCTGAAATAACAAGAAAGATGAGTGTTATTTTTATTATTTTTTTTACCCATTTTACATTTACTTTTAGCTCCAGATTAAAAAAAAAATAATAAAAAATGTCACTACTTCTGAGTGACTGAAGGGAAGTGCAAACTCACTTGAAGCTGCATTCCAGTAGTCATGGCAGGCATCTTTTCCCCACTAACAGTTACAGAGCAAACTGTGTTAGAACTGTGTGCCTCTGTAGAAGAAAACATGAAGAAATTAATATGACTCTTAGAATTAAAAGAATATTTAAAATATCAGCATTTCATGACAGTAATAGTTAAGAACAGAAATCTAGGGATTGACAAAACATATGACAGAGAGTGCTTAACCTCAAGAGGAAGACAGTTGGAGTTGGATGATGTATTTATAACTTTGTATAACACAGATGCCTATGTTACTAAACAGGCAAGATCTGCAACTGGAACCAATTTTATAGAGCTCACATGATCTTTGAAAGGAAAAATAAGATGTTATCTGTCCCAGTTTTGATACATTTTTAGTATTTCCACATTCAGGGAGATAGTAGGAGGTTCTTTAGCTTGACTTAATGAATCCAGACATTAAATACTTATTTTATTAAGAAAAGGCTGCAGGCTTCTCTGTTTCAGACAGATTACTTGCAGCAAGCTAAACTACGAGGACAAGTCTGAAAAATAAGGGGAAAACCTCTTACATGCAGACCACATATTTTAAATTCAATGTAATGCTTACAAAGATTAAACACTAGGGAAGAAAGCTGAACCATTTACTCTTAAAAGTTAGATGTTCTCTCCCAAGCTCAAATCTCTTTATACTTTGTCAAAGGCTAGAGAAGTGTAAGAGGGACTTAAGAAAAAGCTTCATGATTAATTTTGAAGGATTCCCTTTAGAAAGATATCCACAGGTTGTCTTAAGAAAAAAATCCTCTTCTTTGACTCATAAGTACATAGTTTGCAGCAGAAGAGGATAAGACCAGGGGCAAAAAGCTGTATTGACATTTCTAGTAGCAGACACAAATTCCTTGGGCTATCTTAATTATACAGGAGACCACAAGGAACAGAGGAGCTGACATACAGAGAGATTGCCTAAAGCAGCTACAGCTCTTGTGCCCCATGCAATGTGTCTGCTTAACCCAGAGCAGAATCTGATTCTGTGTGTCAGACTTAAAAAAATAACGTATTAAAAAAAAAAAGGAATGTAATGCTTCAGGCTTTAGAGAGCACAACTTATTTTTTCTCTTGTTAACCCTCCCCCACCTGGTACAAAACCTAAGGGTTATGTGCTCAGAGAAACATGGATTCTCCTTTGTAACATTAAAATCAAAAGTAAAAATACATAACAAGCTCTGAAGGTCTTCATGTGACAGTTCTGTCAGGTTTCCGTAAGATCTACAAATGTGATGACAGATAAGTTCAGATTTTTCTGATCAATTATGAAAATTTTTAATTCAGCAAGTACTGAGTTATTATTTGAAGTCTGAAATAGTATCAACAGTTAAATAAATCCTGATCTATGCAGTATTCACCAGTTCCTCATTTCCAAAGGATTACCGAAGTTTCTAGATATGAACAAAGCTAAGAACAAAAGACCAACAAAAGCCAACCTTTTCTGTTCTCTTTCTTATTTTTTATTTCCGCTTCATAATGTGCTTTTGACATATTGAGTCCTACACGCAGTGGTTTTAAGAAATTCTGCTCTATCTTGCCAAGTGTGGTCCATACACCAGTCTAGTCAAACAGAAGAGAGAAGGTTACAAAACAATTTAATGAAGCATTGTAATACTAAGCTTTTGAGCACAAGTTTTTTGACTAGTCTTTATGACACACTTCTATGGTGGGAGGAAAAGAGAAAAAAAAAATCAGATTCATGCATTTAAGGATGAGCAGCATTGTGATGGATATTTAAGCTCCTCTTCCTCTCCCTCATATTATTTGTTGATTGGCTGATGAAGCAGTCAAAAAAAAAAAAAGGGTGCAGAGGGAGGGAGGACTTAGTGTGTAGACTGGTAACTACAGCAATGGAAATGCACATTTTCAGCTTGTTCTTGTAAGCAAAGCTCTAAGAGCCTTGATGTGTTGGAGGGGAGGTTCTAGGCCCTTTCTCAGGCTAGAATCTCTACAGCAAGTAAATGGCAGCTGTAGGCTCCTCACAGATAATTCAGCAGTAAAACATAGAGCAAATATTTAAATTAACATGGTATTGTGATGTCAAATCAAAGTTGTAATAAATATCATGCTTCCTGAATGTCTATATTGCATTTTAAAAGCACTCTAAGAATGTTACTGGATATGCTACACTCCCATCCTTCAGCATGATAGCCACAGTGGCAACGAAATTCTCCCCCAGTTTGACATGGGTAGAAAGGAGTTTACAATAATGGCACTCAGGAATCCGGAGGTGCAAGGAAAAGATGCTCAAAACCAAGGCTACTCAGGGTTACAGAGAGGAAAATAAGCTTGTGTTTGCTACAAACTGCTGTAGAAGGAAACAATACAAAGCAGCCTTTGTGTCCTTGGATATAGGAGCCATTTATACAACTCCTTTCTTAAGGCAATACCCTCAAAGGGCAGAATAAGGACAATAAAAACAAGAATTTTCAATATTAAATAGAGTGAGTCCACTAACAACAGTGGAAAATTCACCAAATCTTAATACTAAATGACACATTTAACAGTTCAAATAAGACCAGTAATTACTTCCACCAGAATGTGGCTAAAAAAAGAACTTTCTAGAAAAATACTTATTTTAAACTTGATTAATGAAAACAGCAATCAAAATATCTGAACTGACATGAAAGGAGGCATTTTCTTTCTGCCTCACTTGCACTGTATGAAGAGAGACAGGGAGAAAGTCAAGAAGAACTGACAGCGGCTAAATTTAAGGGAAAATCTTCAGAAGCTGTGATGCTATTTTTTCCTCAAACTGCATGGGCATTCTTTGTGCCAGGTACTAGACAGCACTATTAGAGAAGCTGAGTGCTACTACATGTAGTTTTTTATTAAGAATAAAAGAGGAATTCTTACTTTTCTTACAAAGCTATGTATTTACATGTAACTGAGTAGACCATTATGACTACTTAATAGTAATCACCCCTTAAATATGACAAACAGATACAGTCTACCAATATTAACTAATTACATTAATAGTAAATTAGAAATGCACCCACTGAAAGCTCTTTTTGCTTTTCATTTTCATTACTGTTTCGGCAATCAGTACAAGTTATTTCACTGTTATTCTACTTAGATTAGTAACATTATCAGGCTTTACAAAACATATTCCTAGATCTCAAATTAGTCTAAAAGTAGATCAAAATCTTCTTCTGTATTTTAGAAACCAAAAAAATTATATTATTGTATTATTATTACTATAAAGAAATCCAGTTGGAGGTTTGAGGAATACCAGCGAATAAATAAGCAAAAATAACAATTTTTTCATTTGGGAATACTTATTGGGGTATGTGATTTTGTGGTGACATATTCTAATGTTGTAGACATAGATCACAGTTCAACAGGCAGAGTAAAAGGATTAGTTTGTTTCTAGGAACACTATATATGCAAACAATTTCATCAAAACAAAGGAACATATCAGTTATTTCCTAGCATCTTAATAAAAGCATCGGTTCTGGGGAACTAACCATTGCAAAGCAAAACGCAAAACTCATGGTTTTTGAATCAAGGACAACAGTATTTATGTGAATCCACCTCTCAGCTAATCAATCATTTTAAGATCAAATAGTACGTACCTGATTGTCACTTTCACAATCCTTAATGATCAAGTATCTCAGCAGATTTAATGATGCCATAATCCTGTGTATTAAAAACATACAGATACCTATTACCAGGATAGTAATTTTTATTTTCCATTAGCCAG